GAAGCGTTGTGTGTTAGAAATGATTAAAGATATCTTACTGGAATTCTCCCAGGTTTTGATAACACTATTCAACTCTACTTTGAACAATAAGAATGTCTTTAGCTTTAAGTTGAAATGATGATCCCTCTTGCTGCTGTGATCCCCTGGTCCAGTTTTCTTCTCTACTGTTCCACCTTTTTAAACTTATTCGCCGTTCTTTTGAGGGTTCTTGACTGGATTTTGAAGATGAAAACCAGAGTATGAATGTTGGTACCATTACTGAAGGATTGAATGATCTTTTTCTTCTCACCATTGCTCAGTTGGGAAGACACAGTAGGGCTGACACAAAACAATTTTAACCTGTTCTCTTTCTAGCTAAATAACACAACGAGTTTTTTTTTTCCTGCGATTCTTACGACAAATTGTGTCAAGATGGCTGAACATCTCATCTGAAAACCTGGCAAAAAGAAACTAAATTAGTTTTTTTTTTTAGATATGAAGCAGTTTGTGGGATGAACAATTATCTCATGCTATAACAATGATTTGGACAATTTTGCTGTTACACCCAGTATATTTATCACTCTGATGGATTCTCGTTCAGATTTTATCGGGATTTATAAACAGAATAAAGTATCTGAGTTTTGACAACAAAAGTATCTAGTATCGCCCACTAGGGACCAAGTCTCCTCAATGAACCAGCACACTCCTCAACATTCTATGATTATTTACAATTGTTTTCACGTCAGTAGTATTAGCTCTCATCAGATAAGTATCAAATGACCTCATGTCTGAGATTCTAAAATGATCATATACCATTGGCTCGTATGTTCGTATTATAGTTATATGATCAGTTCCCTGTGAATAGTCTTTTCTAATAAAAAAAAATCATTGCAGTTTTTTCTTCTCTATTCGCTTAATATATGATTGGTGACATCTTTCTTTTTTTTGCTTGGAAGAGAAAGGAGTAATCAGGAGGGGGAGTAGATAGCGATTGACATTGCATTTAAACTTTTGCTGATTAAAACTGGCTGAAAAGCACGAAGCCGAAGGGAGTTCCACAAGCGAGAAGTGCGAGAAATGAAACGGTTAGCAAAGAATTTACAGCTTTATCTATCCAGATCAACTGTAAATTGATGAGATCTCGACGCCCGTCTCGTACTGCGCTTAAATTCATAAAATCTAGGTACCATATCAAAGAACTCATTGGAACAATTACCATGAAAGTACTTATAGAAAAGACACAGAGACTGCGACTGAATCCGAGATGCCAGATCAGGATCAATAATATTGCTGATTCTTCTTTGGATTTAATCAAGATGCTCACGGCAAATATCAGAGACGTCGAACCATATGTGGCAGCAATATTCTAACCATGTACGAATGGTAGACTTATAGATATGTAAGATAAATTCTGCAGATAAAAATTACCTCGCGCGATACAGTTAACCACCTTTCTTAGTAGCTGACCTAGCAATGGATTTAATGAAGTCTTTCCACTTCCTAGCAGCTGAGAACGTTAGCCCGAGGCGAAACGAGTCACTTTATTTGTTAGCATTACAATACAATCGCTTTTTAAAACCAATCGCTAAAAAAGGCTTTGGGCGAGTGAAAGCCACACTTCTTTGAACCTTGCGAATTTGCTCTACAGAAGCAAAAAGTGCTGTACCAAATAGCGGAAAACAGATCATTTGAGGACTTTCAACAGCAGCAACAACTAAAATGGATGGCACATATAACTTGAAGAGAAAATAATGATATAATCAAAATATTGACGTTCCAAACTATTTCAAACTAGCAGCATGGCCCGGCGTTGCCCGTGCTTGATTTAAAAATCGTACGACTCATACCGCAATCGCTATCACTTGACTTAAAATATTTTGGCCCTTCCTTGCCTTTAAAGGAGTGCCCTTTGCCGTGCTGATGTTGCTACATGCCTTACTTCTTGCCTATTTCATACTGCGAATTTTTTCTAAACTCTATACTAAACATTAAATCTGTTACGAAAAAAGAACTAAACAAAATGAACACAAAACGATCAGCTTTAAAAAAGAACTCGTAAATGGAAAAACTGAATGAAAAAAGAATGTTAATAACAAATATTTTTTCACACATAACCCAGTTCTGCAGAATCAGAATCAACGTTGTGTTTAAGCAAGCGAATGAGCCAATTTGAGTAAAGTGCCATGTAGATTTAAATTTTTCCATTTGTGACGAATGTAGCTATTGATTTTTTTTGGCAAGTTAACATGCTAGTTAACATTCGTGTCAGTCATCTGTTGGCTCTCACGCTGGCCAATAGAATCTTCCTGCTTATTCGTGGCAGCCAGCTGTAGGCTCTCACTCTGGCCAGTAGAAAATGGCCGCAAACTACATGAAAAGTGCCGTAGAAGCATGAAAAAATCGATTATTTCCACTATCGATGGGAGTTGGGAAATGCAACGTCAGTCTTGGCCTTCCCGCTAACTTGGAGCATGTGCATGTAAATTTTGGTGCAAATCCGTCGAAAATTGCGGCCGTGCATTCGTCACACACACACACACACACACACACACACACACACACACACACACACACACACACACGTCCTGCCATTTATAGATAGAGATAAATGGTCAATAAGGGAAAGAAAAAAGCAACAATGGATTTGAGAAAGCTATTTTCTTGAAAAACTGTTTTAATCGAAAGATTTTATAAATTTAAACTGACTGTAGCCATTGGGTGATCAGTCTCCGGTCTTTTTTTATTTCTTTACCTTTAAGGCTTGTTATTTATATGGAAACGGCTAACCTTACCATTAATATTACCTTTTGTCCTCCTGTCAGTTTTTTCTGCAAGTTTTGGCTTTGACTCCTATATTTCCTATATTTCCTGTCACATCTGGTCCGGGGCTTCTGCTATGAACTTAGAGATTCTTGACAAAATACAAAAAGGAATCTGAAATGTTATAGTTCCTTACGTGGCATCTCGGCTTCAATCAATATCTCACCGCCGTAACGTAATTTTTCTACAAATATTTTCATGGAATTGTTCTGATGAGCTTTCTTCTTTGGTACCTTTATGAATTTTATCGCTCTACTAGATTAGCGAGGTAGTTTTATCATTTTATTATTGAAATGGTGAGATGCAACTGTAATTTCTCTGCTAACAGTTTCTTCTCCTACATTTCTAACTTTTGGAACATTTTTCCAGCTTCTTGCTTTCCAATCAACTTTGATCTTCAAAAATTTAATCGTTATCTTCTGTCTTCATCCCTGTTCTTTTATTGTTATCTTTCTTGAATAATTATTTTTTATCATATCCTTTCACAAGCAGTAACCCCATTGCGTCTTAGTGGCTTTATTGCCTTGTTTAGTGTGAAATGATTAAAAATATTACTTAAACTGAAATTTCTTGATATCTTTAATCTACAGAACAACTCCTGAGTATCTGTCTATATTTCTGAGATGAGGTAATATGTACACTATTTACATTATTCGGACGATTGTCCTCATTGTCGCCATATTTATTACATTTCGGCCGTTGTACGCTCCGGCCTTCTTCATGTGGTTGGAACGTCGAACTGAACCCTTTATTTCGCTCACTGGGGTAGACTGTTCTAGTTCCGGTTACGGGACCCAAAGAGTGCGAGTTCAATATCCGGTTAAGGCAGTGGAGAACTTGAAGAGGGGAATTAACAGGAGACAACTGACAACTGACATCCATTAAAAATATGGCACTGAGTAGTTGTTATACAGTTGGTCGGTATAATGAAATTAATATTGTTTGCGTAGTTCTAATCTAATCACTATTCCTATCCAATCAAGATACTAACAGGAAACTATTATTATTATTATTATTTAAAATGGCTTTAATAATTTGTTAGATTCAATTTTATTTTGATACTTGCTGTGTGTACTCTCTATTGCATTTTTATGTACTTGGTTCAGTTTCGCTCGTTTCATTCTTTCCTTGGTTTTTCGTTTTCTTATAGTCTTATTCTTGTTCATTTTATATTTGCCATCTAGGCAAACATGGGTAAACGTGGCCGCAATAAGACTTACCGTCAATTGACTGCTTTTTCCCATGATACCGCTTTTTTAACTACCTTCATTCCTCGGCAATATTCATTGCTTTAAAAGCGATGATTAAACTGGGAATAAACATGGACATATGCTGAAAGTGACTATATAACTTTTTTGTTCTTGAGAAATTACTACAAAAATACGAAACACTATTAATATTGTTCATTTACAAGAATAATTTTTTATTTACAACATTAAAAAATAACACAATCAAAACTAATGCAATTCAATATTTATTATTTACCAATTTATAAAGTAATAAATCTGAAAAAAAATTCCATTCATAAATTTCAAACTTTTACTAAAATATTAAAAAACGTGAACCAACTATAAGGAAATCTTTATTATTTACCATTTTATAAAGTTCGAATCAATTGTTAATTAACCGATGTTTTGCCAAACATTCCAATAAATATGATAAATAAATAATGTAAATAAACAATCTAATAAATAAAGTGTATATTATTTTGTTGTTAATTCTCAAGAACAAAGAAAACGTATAAATTTACTTTCACATGTTTAGGTTTTATTACTTTTTTAACCATCGCTTTTTAAAACAATAAATATTGCCGAAGAGTGAGGGATAGTAAAAAAAACGTTGTCACGGGAAACAAACAAAAAAAAAAACATCGTTTTGATACTCCGTCGTATTGCGGGCACATTTATCTATGTTTGTCGCCATCTTTATTTTACCTTTCTTTTAAATTTCTTTTTCATTCTGTTCTTTGATAGATTTTCATACTGTTTTATCTTTCAATCGCATCTTTTATAATTCTTTTTTTTCCCGCCATTTTAACTTGTATGTTTATTCTTTGGTAGGTCTGATAAATACACAAACCTCAAATATTAATTTCACAAAACTCTCTCCGTGAAGAATATAGAATTAACTATTTTTTTTTCCACGATTCCTAATTTCTTCTCGTTTTTTTTTTTATTTTTGTTTTTTTTATGTTGCTTGTCATGTTGGTCATTTCTGAAGCCAGTATTTCCCATTTCCGCCATCCATCTTTACGCAGGCGCAAATTCGACATCACAATCGCCCCTGTGTTAATCCCTTTCAACTCACCCGTGATTGTCCAATCACAGAAGGTATTTTTTCACTTCACGATGTTACAAATCTATTTTAATGCCTTTATTTTTTTTTTCCTTTTGTTACTTTTTTCATCTTTGACAGCTTTTTCCTTTCTTTTGTACTTTTCTCTTCTTTCCTTTTTGATCTTCTTTTTCCTGTCTGCAAATGTTTTCTTTTATTTCCCTCTGTTTCTTTGCGTCTTTCTCCTTTCCACGATCTCTCTATGCGTTTCTTTTTTTTTTTTAGCCTCGTTGTCATTTATTTATTCTTTTCCTTTTTCTTCACTATTTCAAAAAACAAAAACACAAAAACATTCTCCTGCTTGTTTCTTTGCTTCACTCTCCCATTATCAAGTTTTTTCTCTTCGATTTATTTTTGCATTTTTCTTTCATCTATTTATGAGCTCACGGATAGATCCCGTTGAAGCATCGGTTCTTGTACAGTCACCTAAGTTAAGCAACATCGAACCTGGTCAGTACCGAGATCGGTGACCGCTTTGGAATACCAGGTCCTGTAAGCGTAGATATGTGGATGTTGTAATATACATTGGCTCAGAATTGCTAATGAGAGAACCGAGTTCCAATTCCAATTGGGTTCGTTATATTCACTTACGCACAAATATCATTGGGAAAGGCATGAATCCATCTCTTCTCCATTCAGCTTTGGGCTAATTAATAAGATTTGTATCACTAAATCATTATTATTATCTATTAAAAAAATCTAATAAAATTTTTCTGGCTTTAAATAACCTGCAAATGGTTGATAAACCGTAAAAAACAAATCAATTAATCAATATTTTCTTTTTTTATTTGTAAATTTCTTTTTCTTTTTCTTTTTTTCATTTGAATTTTAACATTTTTTTCTTCTTTAATTCTTTCGTTTTTTTTTTCTTCTAGTTTCATTTCACCTTTTCTTTCTTTAATTTTGTTTCTCTTCTACGAGTTCTTTTGAAATGTTATCTTTATCCATCATATATTCTTCCTTTTACATTTTCTTGTGTTCTCAATGCTTAAATTTCAATGATGTTTCTTCTTTTTCTTCTTCTTCTTCTTCTTCTTTTTCTTCTTCCTTCCTTCCTTCCTTACTTTCTCTCTTTCTTTCTTTCTTTCTTTCTTCTCATTATTATTATTATTATTATTATTATTATTATTATTATTGCTTTCATTTCTTTTATGCATTCTTTCTTCCTTCATTTTTTTATTCTCCTTCCTTCAAACGTTGTTTTCATATCCCTTCATTCTTATAATTTCCTCTTTTTTCCCACTCCCTTTATATTTCTTGCCTTTTTTTGTCTCACGTGGAGTCTCTCCCTATTCTTTAGTCTACCGTTTTCTCTTTTAGTATTTTCTCAAAACTCGCCACATAATTACATTTGGCGCCAATAGATAAGGGCAGCACTATACATTGTTTTTGTGTCTATTCACTATATATATATATATATATATATATATAGTGAACATATATATATGTGTGTGTGTGTGTGTGTATAACATGATTATTTGTTGTAGAGCGCTCTCGAGATATAAAACTATGATTTTAAATTTAATGTTATAAGACTAAGATGATTGTTTGCCTTCTGAATTGTTCCGAGGAACTTGTAAGATTGGCTGTTGAAACTGAAGAATGTAAATTTGAACGTTAGCGTATAAACGTGCGTTTATAAAATAAATTCGATGGTCCCGGTGAGTTGATTCAAATATTAAGAAATTTTGTGTTGACATTCGATAAGTTGTGAACGTTTTTACGTATATTTTAATAAAAATTATCGCTCAAGTCTTATATAGAGCACTCTGTCAGACGCGCTTCTGCAAAATTTGATATATGTTGAATTATGTATAATATGGTATATTAGTAGCTAATATATATATATATATATATATATATATATATATATATATATATATATATATATATATATATATATATATAAGTAAACACTTAGAGGCGACAGTCGCCTCGAGTGTTGACTTCTATGTTCACTTTTATATTTACACACGCTCTGTCTCTGATATTGAGCACTTTATTCCATAAATATAGCACACCTTAAGACTATATTTCTTTATATATATATATATATATATATATATATATATATATAATTATATATATATATATATATGCATATAAAACCTCATATATATGTGTGTGTGTGTGTGTATATATGTCTATCTATCTATCTATCTATCTATATATATATATATATATATATATATATATATATATATATATATATAGTGTCGTGCAAGAAATTTTTTCGCCTGAATCTCTCTTACATATTTATCTGGTCTGGTGCTCCTACTAGGTGTTTCGAGATCCTTGATAAATTCCAAAGAAGGACCTGTAATGTCATTCGTCCCGAGCTGTCATATAATCTTCAGTCACCTTCCTACCGCCATTATGTAGCTTCCTTGTTCCTTTTCTATTAATACTTTTATGGTAATTGTCTCTGGTGAACTTTCTTCGATGGTACTTAGACTCTATGGATTTAAGCACATTGCTAGCAGATATACAAAAATAGAATGGAGCGTAAGGCAAGGATGCATCTTCTCACCGGACTTATTCAACCAATACAGAGAGGCAATTTTGAGAGAACTAGAAATTCTATCAGGGTTCTTCATTGGCTGTCACAATCTTAACAACATAAGATATGCTGATGACACAGTGCTGATAGCAGACACAGAAAGGAAACTACAAAAACTCTCACAGAAGGTAGGAAAGGAGAGCGAGAAGAAGGGACTAAGTATAAACTACAAGAAGACTGAATGTATGGTCATCAGTAAAAAGATGAGTCCGAATTGCAATTTACAAGTCGGGGACGCTAAAATCAAACAGGTGCTGAAGTTAAATATCTCGGAAGTGTTCTGACAGAGGACGGTAAGTACGACACTGAGATTCCAAGACGTATTGGGATGGCCAAAGACGCATTCCAAAAGCTAGGCAGAGTATTACGAGAAAATTGAATTTCCTTGGTAACAAAGAAAAGAGTACAGAACTGCTACGTGATATCTGTCCTACTTTATAGCAGCGAATAATGGACGGTCTCTTCAAATATGAAGAAGAGACTCGGATCAAGGGTTCTACAGGAGATCATGAACAGAACATGTGAGCTACGATGAAGTTTTGGAGAGGATACAAACAAAGAGGGACCTTATCCTTAACATCAGGAAAAGGCAGCTGAAACTTCTTGAATACCTAATGAGAAAGGAAAGCTTGGAAAATCTGATACACCCAGGGTGAATAGAAGGAAAGAGAGTCAAGGAAAAGCAACGCGTGGCATACCGGGCTTAAAACTGGATTACAGAACAGGGTCTGCGAGAAATAGCAAAAGGAGAAAACTTTCTGAGAGCTACAAGGGATAGGAAGAAGTGGAGAGCCATGATCAGCTACGTTATGAAGGGACACGGCACATAAAAGAAGAAGAAGAAGTCTAGATTAGCAACAATGTTCTCTTCCGCCTTCTTTCATTTCAGTTAAGTTTGAACTTCGCAAATTTAAATGCAATGTCTATCGTTATTATCTGTTATCGTTATTGTCATGTCTGTTATTAATTTCCATTATTTTATTGTTCTCGCACATTAATAATGTTTTCTCATATTCTTTCACAGTAACTTCTTGCGTGTTAGTGGCTTTGTTGCCTTGCTTTGGATGAAATGATCAAAAATATATACATATTATCAGTATCATTATTATTATTGTACAGTGCAGTATCTTTTGTAAATTAATTCGAGTAGCTGAAATTTATGCTAGGCATGATGAGGAAAGAGGACCTGGAGAAGTTAACACTCACAGGAAATTATAAAGACAAGAAAAGCAGATGGTAATAGCAAGTGCCCTATTTAACGAATTTGTGTGAATGGATAGCAGAACAGGGTCAAAAAGTGATTGTAAAGTGACAAAAAGTACTTAGAGCAACAAGTGACAGGAAGTTGTGGAGAGCCATGATCACCCACTTCCCAAAAGCATTGGCATATAAAAGAAGAAATATTTCGAACTAAGACAGGAAATAGAAAGAAGATCGCTGTAGTGTAACCTGAACAAAACAATCTTTTCTTTCCTATATTTTATTCAGCATAAAGAGGAAAATCTTAGGGAAAATCAAGGTGATTTTATTCTTAAGCATTTTTGTTTTCTTTTTTCTTTTTCTTTTTTTTTTTTTGGAGGTTGTATATCGACATAGAAGAAAGTAACGTGCTAAATTATTAGAAGGCAAGTAGGCAAAACAAAGACGAAAAAGAAAAAAAGATGTTGCTGAAGAAATCAAAGAAGCAGACGAAACTTTGATTATAGCGTTGATTAGGTAAAACAATAAGATGAAAAGCGAGAAAATGAAAGAGATTGGACAATAGCACATAACGGTTCGAACGAATAAAGAAAGAGAAATGAAGGGAAAAAAGAAAATGAAGAAAAAAATATGATGACGAAAAAATAACATGAACGAAAATGATAAAGAAGAAACATGAAAATAAAAAAAATACATAGTTCGGAAGAATAAAGAAATCCAAAAAGAATGAAAAACGAAATTATGTAAAGATGTAAACCAAGAAAATGAAAGCGAAGGAAAAGCGTGTAACGATTGCAGGAATGAGAAAACGAAGAAAAAGGTAACGAAAGAAAAGATGACGAACCAAATAACAGGAATGAAAATGAAGAAAAAGAAATATGAAAAAAAAAAAATCAATATTATTAAAAACAAAAATGAAGAAAGAAATTAATGAAAATAAAACATCGGTAAAAGGAGAAGTCATGGTGGAATAATGGATAGCGGCTCGGATTGAGAAATCGGTGAGCCGCGTTCGAATTCCAGTCGAATCTATTGGAAATCCCCCCCCCCACCAACTATGTAGCAGGATAGATCTTGGATGGCAACTAGTCTACTGCAGAAAAAAAGTCAACCTACCGCAAAAAAAAATCTGTCTCGTCAGTCATGTATCAGAAGATGTATCACCGATAGCACATAACTGACTGACTAGTGGGCACCTCGGGGCGGTGTAATGGTTAGCAAGCTTGTCTCGCTAGAACAATTACAACTGAGTCGTGAGTTCGATCCTCACTGGGTGCCCCATACTTTCGACCTTGTGCCACATCTAAGCTACGCTTAGAAAATCACTAACTGACTGACTAGTGAAGGTCGTAGAAAACGCAACAATCAACATCTTTTCATTTCTAAATATGTTGTATAGGAGTGTTGCCGCCATGGCAGTTTGAGCACAGATCACCAGTGAGTAAAGACGGACGATTCCATTATTAAATAAGTAGATCACGTGATCGTAAAGAAAACGTATAAATCACGAATTAGCGTGACGACTAAGTGATCGTTATTCCTCTATACTATTTCTCTATACTGATCATTACACGAATTACTATTCGGTGATTACTATTTGAATAAGTATTATTAGTGCGACTATTATTTGAAGGCGTTATTAG